GATTCACTCTTGCACTAATAGTACTTGTAAGCATTATGACAGGAGACAAAGCATTAACATCAAAGACTTAAAAGAGGAGTTCGGTGGTTTTCTGAAAGAAAACATGAATCCCGATGATTTTATAGCTTAGTGTTTCCTAACAATTAGTACTGATAACAACAAAACTATGAGGTAGACACTGTAATTATCTTAATTTTGCTGAATAAAAAATATTCTGAATGGTTCATTTGCCAGAGTTACACAATCAGTATATGGGGAGCCAGATTTTAAGCCCACCACCCACAACAACTCTAACCCCCAATTCAAACATCTCTCATCCTTGGCATAACCCGTGTTATGTTATAAAGCCAAGTCTTTAGAAGGTTTACAGCCCTGAGCTGCTGGCACTCCAATGATCTCATGAATAGGAATGAACTCAAGGACCAAACCTAACATCCACATGTTTGAACATCCTCTTCTGTCTCATAATTCTGGGTCCTAACTACATATCTTTCACATGTGTGGGCCAGGCCTTTCATATCCATTCTCTCATATTACAGAAGAAAGGGAGGCAAAAGATCTTAAAATTGGTGCCAGGTCACACCCTTAGAACACCATTCAGCCTGGACTCAGACCAAGGCACCCTGACCACAGAGCCCCTTTCTTCCTCCTACCATGTTGCTTCCTCCACATCAGAGTGGTGTGCACAACTTCCCCAGGGCGAGAAAGACGGACAGACCTCGAGGTTAAAATATGCTGATTCATTTTGTATGCCTCACCCAGCTCTCATGGCTACCCCTGTGCCCTGTTTTTGAGGTGCTCTGTTTTGAAGGCTTAATTGTGAGGAAAGACGTAATTTGGAGACTCCTGAGGGGCAGGAACATGTGTAGGTCACGATGTCACCTTTGGAAGTTGCACTAGAACCCCGGCGAGCAAACAAGCAAACAAACAAAAAATGCCTTGTAGTTTTTTAGGAGGCAGAGTTAGATACTTCTCTCTCTTGCCCCCCCCAAATAGCATTTAAAAAAAGCAAAATTTGTTAGGACCAACCTTGTCAGAACTCTGAGGTTAGATAAACAGCCAACCAGCCATCTAGCCAGCTTTGCTGCTTTCTACTCCAGGACCATGTTCCTCCCTCGTCCAGGCTCAGCACCCAGCTCAAAGCAGCAGCTCTCCATTCCAGCTGGGGACCCCGGTCCCAGCCTTCTAAAAGGGCAGATCAGACTTTCTGCACATATATTGGGTCTGTCTGTTAGCACTGGTGGAGTGGTTCTCCAGAGGGCTGAAGTTTCAAAGCAAACGTCTGGGTTTCCTCCATTTTGAAAGTGGGCAGGGGAGAGAAACGGGCAGCCTAGCTCTAGCATTGCAAGGTGTATTGAAAGGCCTGTAACTGCCTGAGGCAAGAGAACACAGGCAATATGAAGTTTAGGCCAGTAAGGTCCCCGAGCCTGGAAGAGCTACTTTGGGAAGTTTGATGTGTAAAAGGAATCTATAAGATTTGTAAAGCAACCGTGTAAAAGGGGATTTAAAAAGCTGTGCGTACTTGCACCCACAGTACTCAGAAAAGAGTAAGTTCGAAGCTTTTACCTCTGCTGTATTTCTAAACCCTTTGCCCTGGAGTGAATTCCAACTTCTCGTCCTCCATGTATTAGGGAATAGACCCGATCACCAAAGGGTTTTCTTGGCTGTAATCTTTATGGAGCGCTGGTTGGGAGAAGGTGAGGGTCTCTACTCTGGTGAAGAGTTACAGCTCTGGAAGCCCACAGAGGCAATTCTGCTCTGTCCTAAGGAGTCTCTATGTATCATAACGGACTCGATGGCAGTGATTTGTTTGGTTATTATATATATACAAATCTCCAAGATTTTTTGTCCCATGGCACCACTGGATGGGTCCGATTTGTCAATCTCTTGATTAGTAATACAGAGCAGACCGTGATGCCTCTCACGGACCTCTGCACCTATCTCTCACGGACACTCATTGCCATCCAGTCATTTCTGACTCTTAGCAACCCGAGAACTGTCCATCTTAATGGGGCGTAAAAAGCCTCATCTTTCTCATGCAGAATGGCTAGTGGTTTCAAACTGCTGACCTTGAGGTTAGCAGCCCATCTTGAGAACCACTTCACCATCAGAACTCTGAAAAACTTCTCTAAGTGCTCAATGAGTGCCCTAGCACAGAGGCGATCAGAAAAGATGCCAACGATGATTTTTAAAATTTATTTTAATTTAGGCTGCAGTGAGTACACACGATTAGGTTTGCACCGAAATAGTTTAGAAAATTTGACTTTGTCAGGAGTTCATCTAATCAATTTTATCCGAACACTTTTATCATTAGATTTTGATTTAGTATTAGATAAAAATTCTTTATTTTTAAAGAAGAGTAATCAAGGACTTAGTTAAATATTTTTCAAACAATGGTATCTTGAAATCTGCTAAATTAAATTCATATTTATATTGAGAGGAAATTGTTTTTTAATTGACATAGGCTATTCTGTGTGAAAGATTTACCTCTGGCATCACACCGTGAAGCACATAATTTGGAAAATTTTATTTTTCTCTGTTTACATTTTTCATACAGTTAACAGCATTTTAAAATGCAAAACTGTCCTTTTGCAAGAGTTAAAAGGGGGGCTTTGAAATGTGTGTGTGTGTGTGTGTGTGTGTGTGTGTGTGTGTTTTCCTCCCGACTCATTCGCCGCAGAGGAAGCAGAACCAGGTATTTTAAAGTATTGGAGGACTCACGAAGAGAATGGGAAAACTTCAGGGTTCCCGTCTTGGGAAATAGCAGCAGGGTGTACATTGCATAGCGATCCCGTCAGTTCCATTTTGAGCTGTCAGAAACAAGGAGGGCATGCCTAGCTGCGGTGGCTTTGCATGTCTGTCCCTCTCCACGGTCCTGATAAGATCCGGCTCATTTACTGAGGGCGATGGAACCTGTTCAAACCGCCTCAGAGCTCAGGGTCAGTGTGTTCGGTACCAGGTACCAGCCTCACTGCACGGGATGGAGGCTGACTCCCAGCGCAGTCGCAATGGAAATACAACCGTTTCACATACTTTATCTTTTCTCTTTGCAGGATGAGTAAGAGATACTTACAGAAAGCAACAAAAGGAAAGCTGCTAATAATAATATTTATTGTAACCTTGTGGGGCAAAGTTGTATCCAGTGCAAACCACCATAAAGGTAAGGTCTTTTGTTTTCTTTCTCAGCTCCCTGGGGAAAGTGACTCTGCTGAAGACAGACTGTAGTGTTTGTTCTGTTTCGATGTGTCTGTTAAGTTGTACAGGCATCGGCCACGCCTCGTGAGCCTCTTTACATAAACATGCAGAGGTGCTGCTGTTGTGAGGTGCTGTCGAGCCTGTTCCGACCCAGAGGGCCCCTATGCACAGCAGAAAGAAAGTGCCCGGTTCGTGCCCTTCTTCCCATTGCTCCTGTGTTTGAGCCCGAATGCAGAGACCATTATCCTTACACTGGCTGTCCTGGAAGAGGAATGACTATTTAAATATTTCCAGAACTCAGCTATTTGGGCTAGTAACATTCAAAGATTATGAAATGATGACTCTGACCTTACCCCGTGTATTTGCGTTTTAAGACAGTAATGTGAAAATAGGTCCAGGAGGCATAGTGGGTTACAAGTTGGGCTGCTCACCCCAAGGTCAGCAGTTCGAATCCCTCAGCCACTCCAGAGAAGAAGAACAAGACTTCCATCTCTCATAAAGCGTGTACAGTCTCAGACACCCAGAGTAGTTCTACTCTGCCCTCTAGGGTTGCTCCGGGTCAGAATCAACACGATAGCAGTCGCTTTGGTTTTTGGTTTTGGATGTGAAAATGTTGACATACTGCAATAAAGATACATTCTATAATACGATAAACCTCATAAGAACCTTTAATGGTGTATATCTTAATAGTATGTATTGTGTACAATGTATTCTCATGCCATATGTAGGTCATGCTTCTTCAATATGAAGACAAGTGAAGATAGTCTTTTACCTTGTGCCACTTTGGCCACCATTTCGACACTCTCCTTAGTTGGTTAGTCAGCACTTTCCATTCTGTCCTAAGAATACTTGATGTATAGATACATATTAAGCTCGAAAGCTGAAAATTATGCCCTTTCTGTCCTCTTTCCTGGTTATAAAGTTCAGGGCAATGAATAGCTGCCTTTTTCAAATGACTGGTTGACACTGCTGGGGAAGTGATCCCTAAATGACTATCTATAAAATTTTTGTACAGGGTTTTAGCAGAAATATATTATTTTTAGGAGAAAGATCCTTGTAGCTAGTTATGACAAAAATGTTTTATAAACCTAGCCTACATGTATCATAAGTCTGAACCTCAATGCTAATTTCTTTTTTGGTTCTCTTAATGCTTCAATCAGATCTGTCATTATTACCTAATTTCAATGACACTTCAGATCATGTGGTTTTGTCTGCAAGGTGTACAAACATAGTTATTGTTTTTATTGCTGCTGAGTTTCTCAGATTTTCTGGTATTTTAGTGATGATATTATGATATTATCTTCAGTATTTAGAGTTTCTCAGATTTTCTGGTATTTTAGTGATAAGATTATGATAATGAGTATTTATGAACTTATCAATAACTTTTGAGAATGAAATAGTAATTAAAAGAAAAAAAGGATAAACATTTTAAAGATTACTGCTCAATTATTGTAACAAATAATGTAATTCAGTATAGAAAGAATTTACCAAACAATTTTGTTCATCCTATTAATGAAATATGAGAAATATTACACTCTGGCAATTTACAATTAGATACATATGTTACATGTTATTCTATGATTGGAATTGATAATAAACATTGTGGTGGCATGTATGGTCTGTAAAGAGAGGAGGTCCATTGGGTGGGAGGGGAAACACCATAAATTACTACCCTAGTTGCCAGCAGCCACCCTAGTTGCCAGCAACATCATGGTCATTCACTGGGCAGTGTAAATACTTACTTCCATAGTCTGTTTGTAAGTGAAGAGGAAATTAAGGGTGCCTTAATTCTGTTATGCTTATATTTGCTACACATGTATGTTTAATTTGTATTACATGGAACATTAACAGAGGGGAGGAAACATGGTGTGAGGGAGTGATGCTGATAAGACAAACCTCTGCTCTTTGTATTTAAAACCAAAAATAGAAATCTTTTAGGAATGAGATAGTTTTATTATAAGATCCTTCATAGTCTTTCTTTTGAAACTCCATTTTCACAGAAGTTCATATTGAGTCCTTTAAAAATCTATCTTAACAGTTTTAACATGTTATGGTATATGCTAACTCCCAAACTAAGATCTCTACAAACTTTTGAGCAAGAGAATATATGAACTTGCACATTTTGTCAGAGAATTTACTTACATTGCCAAATCCAGTATGTTTTATAAGATAAAGGGGGCTTGTTGTTGGTGTGTTTGGTTTATTACTGTTCCATTTCCACCCTGATAATGATGTTTTGAATGAAAGTTTCAGAAAGGGAACTAATTTTTCTTTCTTTCCTATTTCCTTTCTTTCTATTTTTCATTTAAAAGTATTTTAAATGTGTATTTGAATGTTTTATACATAAAAGTATATAGAATGTATATATACGTTGTAGCGTGTACTAATAAAATGAGCACCAGTCTACTAACTACCCAATTGAGAAATGTGGCACCTATTAGTCTTGAAGCTGTCTATATCTGCCATCTGATACCTTTGCCGTTTTGACCCATGGTAAACTTTGTGCCATTCTAAAATTTGTGATTATTATTTCTTTGGTTTTATTTCAAATAGCTCTAATGATTCATTGCTTACTTTGGTTGTTTTTGTGTGCATGTTAAGAGTATTATGTTGTACTTCTGTTGTTGTATAGTATTACCATTTTGCCCAATAATATGCTTTGAAGATTCATTATAGGTAGTTGAGTTATTGTAGTGGCTGCTGTTGAGTAGGCTTTGAGTCATGGTGACTCCATGCACAACAGAATGAAATACTGGTTGGTCCTGCAGAATTTTCAAAATCATCGGCATGCTCACGTCCATTGTTGTGATCACAATATCTTTTGAGTGTTGTGATCGTAGGATTTTCATCAGTTCATTTTTAATAGTAGACTACCAGACATTTCTTCCTAGTCTGTATTAGTTTGGGAGCTCTACTGAAACTAACTGACCATGCATGCTGTGATTTGACTATCAGGAATCTAACCTCTAGCATCATAGTAAAACATACACCTCCAGAGTTTGGCAAGGTGATTGTTTACATGTAGTTTTAATTCACTAATTTTTTGCTCTTGCTCAATATTTTGATGAAGGTACTACAGTTGATGATTTCTTTTTCTTGTACATAAACACTTGGTGTTCTTTTTCTTACTGTAATGAGCATGGCTCATATAAATATTCCTGTACTTATCTCCTGGTGCCTATGCGCCAAGGCTTCTCTAGAGCACATTCTCAGAGCAGCAGTGCTGGTTCACAGACGTGCATGTCTGAAATCTTACCAGACATTTCAAATGGTTTTCTGACATGGTAGCACTAGTAGAGTTGTTCACAATATTTCCTAATTATATCTTAAATATCTGATATATCTTAGTTACACTTCCACTTTCATTCAGCATATCTCATGCTAAATCTTTTTTCCCCTTGATTAGTCTCACCAGAAGTTGACCAATTTTATTAGCTTTTTCAAATAAAATACTTTTGTTGATCCTCTAATTAATATCTTTCTTATTTTATTGCCTTCTGTTATTATTTCTATAATTTTACTTGTATTTATGTAGCAAACATTATATTTAATATATAATTAAATTAAATATTAATATATAATTAATTATATATGTTAGATTTATGTGGGGAAATAAAACTTTCCTCAGTACTCCTATAAAACCCCCTGGTCTACTGAGGCTCTTCACATACATAGATCTGTAACTATCTGTGTAGTTAATTGTTCTGATGCAAAAAGATAATAAAGCTTAACCTCCTAAGATAGCCAAATGGTTGAAGACTGAATAAGGTGAATAGGTTAAGCTATCAGATTCCAGGACGAGGGGAAATCTCACTCCCTAGGTGTGAATCCCAGGTCATGGAGACACCTGAAGTTTCCTTGGCCCTAGAAGAGCATATGAATATTCCAATAATAAGGGTGATAACATAGAATCCTTTTATCTCATCTCAAAGCAGCAAAATATTTTAAAGAGAGGTAGGGCATTTTATTCAGCTGAATAAAGCATTTGAGAGAGAGAGAGAGAGAGAGAGAGAGAACGCACGAGGAAATGACTCACAGTTGTGGAGGCTAGGAATACTAAATCCAGGGTCAAACATCAGGCTGGATGCTTCCTCTGATTCATATGAGTGCAGGAGCTGCTGGACCTAAAATCAGCAGTCAGATGGCAAGATGCTGGGTCACAGGACTCCAGGACCTCGTGACTCTCAAAATATGCAGGTCACGTTGTCGGCTATTGGCTCATGTCTCAAGAACTTGAAGTGAGATTAGTGAGAGAAAGAGAGAGCTTTTCTAGAATATCCACATATATTGGAAACAGGCCCCACCTCCAAGAAAACTCTCCATGCATCGAACACAGAATGGAAGATAGCACTAAGAATCATGGCCTAACATGTTGACACATAAAATTAGACATCACAGTCCACCACTTGTCATCTTGTTACCTGCACAAATCTCTTTAAACCATATATGATATCTAACTAAAGACAATTATAAAGTTGTACTTACATCTAACATGATGGAACTAGCATGGGTACAACCCCAAATCACTTGCCGCATTTACATCTTATATTTTATATGTGAAGGAAGAAAAGAGGAAATGAAGCAAACATATTTGCAATATGTCATATATGTTATATACATACCCATAAATATGTAAACACATAGCCACACACACAAGTTGGAGCTTCAAAAAGTTCATGGAAAAATGGAACTAAATGATAACTAAATTTTTTCACGAACTTCTGTATATGTATACACATGTTCCCATGTTATAAAGCAAGAAAAATATTCATAACAAGTACCGCCCTTATTTCTGTGGTATTTAGAACTTCCTTCATAACATTCACAGTTATAGTCATAACAATTACAGTCCTTATTTATGTGGTTATGACTGTATTTATGACTACTTCCTTCCACCATTCATATTCCCTCTTCTGTGATCCCATATTCACTTTGCTCCCAGCAAGTATCTCACTTGATCATGGT